AATATGGTGAAGCGGTAGGCAGCTGTATTAAGGTCTGATTACTGAAACAGTGGGGAGGAAGTCGGATTTTAGATTTCTGGAGACAACATAATAGCAATTACACCATCACCAAAACGTCACAATTATGAATTTCTCAAAAGCAAGAAGATATGTCGGTTGTTTGAATAGCACCCCCCAGACCATCAGCGTGCCTTAAAGATTAAATCGGTAAACAAATAAGGAAACCTCACAACCTCAAACAGTCAGTCCACATCGGTGAGAATAAAGGTTAGGCCGAAATGGCATTGAAGATAAATAATTGCCTTGAAGTAATAAAAAACTTAACTGATGGGATAACACAGAAATGCAAGAGCTATTGAAGAAGCCCTTAACTCCAGCTTCATATGTCTAAGTATGAAAATGGGAGCATCTTTTGTCTGCGTGGAATTCCAGCAGACATGTATATTGTTTTCTGGCCACAAATAGATCACCAACTATTAGATATGCTGTAAAAATGTTGTGAGGAAGTCTTATTTTTACCCAGTTAACCCTTTTCTAAGCCCCGCCCACGACTGCTGCTCAGTCAAGCTGTCAGAGCTACCGTGGAGCCCACACTGTCACTAACTGCACTGCCTGCATGGATCTCATCTACTTTTTGGATAAACAAAAAAGGCGATTTCAGAGCGAAGCAGACAGAAGCGTCTGCAATATGCAATTGAAGGATATATCCAGGATATCAAAGCAATTCTGCAGCAAAAACTAAGTCTATAAAAAGATAAAGATAGAAGCTTAAGCCTACAGATCACAGTAAGCCACTGCAATCGAGACAGAAGACAATAAAATGAAGAAACAACACTGTTTCTGTAATGCAGGGTAGGTCTATTAAAAAGCAGCATGTGAATACATTCAGCAGCTTGCGTAGCATAGAAGCTATGTTTCTAGTTAATGACGTTCTGGCAGCTTGCCTGGATCTTTTTAAATGTCTCCTTATCCATATTGAACATACTGGCTTCATATATGCTCCTCATTGTGCTCAGCAGTGGTTACAACTCCACACTCTGTCTTGATAAGAAACAGAAGCACGTGTAAAGGTTGTCCACGTTCTCCATGTTTCACTTTGTGCATCGCTCCATATGTCACTCCATCTCACTAAATCCGTCCCATGTGTAACATAAAGTTTTTACTACATGCAGCATGTTCCCAGGGTATGAACTCAAATGGAGTAGGTCAGCATTAATGCCTCAGGGTTTTACAGAGAGTCACCGTGTTTTCTTAGATTGTCTCAATTTTTAAGGGCTTGAGAGTTTAAATATTTATGTTATTACTTTGCTCAAATTTGAGAATTTCTGGAGGTATCAATCTTGGCTTTGGACAGCTGACATTGCTGTGTGTATTAAACATTGTGTAATAGTGAGACTCGTTTCCTGGAGAGGTTGGGAGGCAATATAAGTTTGTAAAACGTTACTTTTCTACAACAAAACCTGTGGAGCTAACAAAAGCAGAGTACCGTAGCACATCATTAACAAGCGTTCAATAAAAATCGGCTAAATATCTTGTAAACAAGCTTAGTCATAGTGTTTGATTTCAATTCAAAACTGATTTCTTTTTAGTTTTGAGGGTATGATTTAAATTTTGTTTCATAATTATCTTTTTTTTAGTTAATTAGCCATGCTTCACAAGCTACTGAAGATATACTCCATGTATACACATGGTGGGTTTGCTTTTTAATGATTGTAACCGTGATTAAAGACAACCATTGTACCATTTACCATTATAAACATAAACACTTTTTGGCACACGCATGAGGACGACGGAGACACAACACCTGATGAGCTACGTCGCTCCCACACAGTCTATACAGTCTATGGTTACACACAGGCTTCCGTTTCGAAGCGGAACCTCTTACTTTTCATTTCGGCGCCCAAGTTAACAGATTAGAACAGCCGCACAACCAGAGTGATCAGCTGAACTGCTCTGGCTCGCACACGTGTGGGTTCCACACAGACAGCTTTGCTGCTGCGGCCCCGCTACTGTAAAAAAAGAAATAGGCAACACAAGCTGAATCTCTAGATGAGCAACCTGCAGGCGAGCAACATGGACAACAATCCCTGTGTATTTTGTACAACGCTGGTCCAACAGCTTTCTTTCATGTGCGTTAAGATGTTAAAGGTTATGTCATATTTTGTGCTCTTCAAAGATGTAAATTATTTTAAGTGTAATGTTATTCCTATTTTGGCTTTGGTGAAATAAAATAATAAAACACCAGGAAATATGTGAAAAAACACTTTCTTTTCAAAATATTCTTTATTGATGAAATCAGGTTGCTCAGCTATACAGTTCCCTCACAACTCAAAACAGCAGGTCTGCTACTGCTGAATGAATCACATTACATTTACATTAAGGGAACTCATTTTCATTCTTATATTGAACCAATAAATACAGTTCTATTTTTCTTTTATTCAAAATTGAACCCATAACTTAAAAGTATGAAAGACAATTCAAAAATATCTCTCAGCCATGTGACAAATCACAAACAAAATATCAAGTTTTATGGAAGAATATTCCAAACTTTTAAACGCATGGTATTGACAGGATGACGTAGTAGCAGCAGGGGTGTTGCTTAGCGAAGGGTCAATTGTTTACCACTGCAAAACATGATCTTTCTCCAATTACTCTGAATACCGGTGCTGAAAAAGCCTGATAGCTTGTTGGGATCAAATCTTTCTGATTATTTAGAGGTGAGGATTGAGTGCACCTAGTGAGGCCCAATTAAGAATTCCTTCACTCCTTGTCGAAGAATGAGTGACAAGGCCTCAGCTGATGTACTATTGAGGTTTCCCCTCAGAAGATCAATCTACACTACAGAGAGGCAGGCCGGGCTGTCAAGTTAGCACCTCGGTGGCGGCTTTCTGTGGTTCCCCATGACTGGAAAGAGAGCAATGCAGCATGACATTTCATCAATATAAGGAGGGTTGGCTGAGGGGGTTTAATTCCTAATCCTGCTGGTTTATGTGGGCTCAGGCCGACTCAAGAGCCCATTCAGCTGCATTAGAGGTACAGCACGGGGAAGGACAAGCATGACACGACACTGGCACCATTTGGACTTTGTGCTTGTAGATTCCATGTCCTGTCGAGAAAGACTCGTCTGAAGTGTCACAAGCCTGTATTTCCATGTATTATTCAATCCACAAGCAGTTTCCACGGTGTGCCGTGTCACTGGAGGGGACATATGGATCCGTTACATAGGTTTTGTTCAAAATCAGAAGGCCCTTGAGACACAGGATGTACGTTTGTTAGTGGTGAAGTATGTTCATCCCATCTAATCCCGTGAGATTTAAAAACGCCAGAAAACTAAATTGTTGGAATGATGACATCAGAGGTAAGCTTGCGTTGGTAGCAAAATCAAAAAGGGTTGATCTTCTGTTCGATAGCCATTTTAGGAAATCTCAGACTCAACTTGTCAGACATTGGCAGACACCTCTTCTTCAGCCTCAGCTGTTGGGCTAGGCTTTGAGCTGAATGCCAATATTAGCTAGCATGTTTGTGCTAGGTGTCGTGTTAGCATGGTGACATGCTTACTCTTAGCATGGTGTTATGCGTTTGCGTTTCACACGTTAGCATGCCGACATTAGCAGCCTATGTGACCAGATAAAGAAGTGGAAACGGTCTATTGGTGGTGCTAGATCAAAAGTCATAACGAGTCAGCGTGAGTATCACAATTGGTGCCAATCCGTAGTTCGTTCAGTAGTCGTCCCGCTGGAACAAAGTGGTCGACCGATGCACCAACACACTGACGGACTGAGCAGCATTACCAGGCTGCTAATGGGACGACGAAAACAAACAGGTTTCCATGGAGAGAACATAACAGGAATGAATTACCTCACATCAGGAAATTAGATCAGCAACTGCAAAAACAAATTGTGTAAAAGTAAACCGTTGATGTTTATCACCTGCTGCAGTGACCTCTGTTTTACGTATGTCATATTGTCTCATGTACTAAAAGTGGTGTACGTTACACATTGTAAAAAATGGCAGAATGTATATAAAGTTTGATTCGTGATGGGACGACTAAGAGATACTCTGGTACTTGACCTTGAGAACATGAATGCCTTGTTCTTCATTCGACCTTCCCTTTCCCGAAATCACACCTGCCTCAAAGCCACGACAAGAAGAGCTCATACCACATAAATGCCATGACCTTGATTATGTAATATAAGAAGTACCCAGCAGACACGGGGAGGAATGCCTTGTTCATGACGTGTGATCTCCAACAGCAAGAGTTTAGCACAATTCAGGATCAAACTGTGAATTTGTTTCAACAACATACTCTCTTCAAGTTCAATGGAGAGTATGACTTGAAAGAGAATGCCACGTTCTTTGATTAGCTTCACAGTCCAGATTAATAGCAAAGCCCGTCTTGTGCCACTTCACCTGCTCGCCACCAGCCAATGAATTACCATAGTTTAAGCAGCTCTTAATGATGCATGTTTCCATCACAGCCTGGGGTAACAGCTCAGACTCCAATTCATCTTTTGAAGTCGTTTGCCTTTACTTTTACCAATTAACACTCTACTTAACAGAAACTGAAAGCACTACTAACCCCATGATGGTTAAACGTGTATAATATCTGTAAGAATAAGATACCAGACAACCCGAATGAACTCCGCAATCGTTTTCTTGTCAGCAACTGTTCTGTGAAAGATGAGTCCGCTGTCATCAGTAATTAGTGTAGTAAGACATAAACTTCACCACTAACTTGTCATTGGTAGCCCTTCCCTCTCCCTCAGGCTATTCATCCCTCCTTACCTCATGCAATGCCCACACCACCACCACCACCACCACCACCGCCCGCCCCGCTCCCCCTAAATAATAACCCACCAGCTATGAGCATCCATCTGCCTAAACAGAAGAAGCCTCTCTTTGACAGTCACTGTCTAGGGCACAAGCTTGCAGGCAGCTAAATCAAAACGCGTCTTCCCAAAGGATTTAATATCCAGTAAAACCCAGACGGCAGCAAGTACCATCTATAAACCAGTCTCAGTAGGAGTGAGGACAAAGCTGTAGACAGGTAAACCCCTCTTCCTCTGCGTTTGTGTGTGTGTAACCGAGGGTTGCTTCCTGACCGTGGGTCAGTCCTCATTTCTTCACGATATCCAGGTGGATTCAACTTTATCAAACTATAGTAGAACAACTGGGGTTTTACAGGATGCTTGAGAGGAATCAGAGGTTTCTATTTAAAGGCAGTCTGGATCAAAGAGTTGATTTTCACTTTTTGTTTGTTCTGCACTGTTGGCTTGGTGGTGTATGAAAGATTCTTCTACACGTTAAATACCTTCTATTTTTCCATCTGTGATAAAACACAAGCTGGTTTGACATTGGATGCAATTACCATTGTAACTTTGAATGTGAACAGATGAAGAAAATATTCAGCTGCAATAAAATTAACTGACTCTGGCTGTATCTCAGCCCCCTCTTCTCTCCCTAGGTGTCAGGTTATCGTTTGATTCACCATTGGTGTACTTTAAATACGTTGATGAATTGAGAGCATTCAATTCTGAGAATTCAACCTCTGAGAATTGAATTAGAGCAGCCTTGGTCTGCAATAATGCTGGGTGTAATCACATGAAGGTATTATAGGGTCACAGCTAACTATAGCCGGGGAGCTGAGCACCATCAGTGCTTGTTGTGCATTCAATATGCCTTGGCCTCTAAATGACCACCGTCTGAATGTTTGCAAATCCTCACTCCTCCTGTCTTATGTACAAAAAAGTACATAAGAAGCGACTACTATCATCCCTTTATGAATGAATTCATAAAAGCAGCCAATATTTCAGTAAACATATAAAACAAATTCAACAAAGCTTTTCACTGAAGCTTTTCACTGAAGCTTTTGAGCTGCATTAACTGGATGAATAAACATTTTTTTGTATATAATTCACACATCGGGTACATGTATTTCCCACTGCGTGTAAGGCCACAGAGACTAGCAAGCAATATTTTAATTTTAAGTAATTGGGGGTTTACATGGTATTTGTAGCAGTCATGCATAAAAAAAACTGAAGGCAACACTCAAATATCAATATATATGTATAATATATGCTGTCAATGAATAGGATTTTGTCTGTTCGAGCGTAAGAGGTACGTATATCTGTAAAATGAGAACCGAGCTACTTGCTTTAGTATTAAGGTTGTGTTCCCTGAAGGTGCTGAAAAACAACATTTGATATCTTGGTAAGTGACAGTAAGAGGCTTCACAGTGATTAACAACTATGAACTAAACCGAACTACAGAAAGATCGGCATTTCTACTTCAATGGTTCTTTCTCGTTAAAACGAATACTGTATTGTTGTGTATTTTTAATGATGTGGACAATTTTAACAATATTTTTTTTGCAAAGATATGGCACATCCAGAGGAACATGAATGCATAAAGATAATATAAAAAACAAAACAATGACTATGTTTATATGCACAACTCCTCCAGGTTTTTTCCCATATTTAGAAATAGAGAATTACCACCAAGTTGTTTACATGCCTGCAAAAATGAATATCCCACTAATTTTTCTGTTGACAGTGCCACTTGTGCCATTTCGCTTCTTTGCGTTAAAATAGGATTGTTTTGTAAATTGAGGTAGATTTCCACCAGTGGGAACACAGCCTCCCTCTTTCATTCCTTGAAAAGGCTGCCGTTGCGATATTTGACATATGTCATAATCGTAATAATAGTGGAATATTAGTGTGCATGTATAGTGGTGGGCCGTCAGGGCCAGCTAAGCCTTCTCTGCTGGCCTAAACAGAATCACAAAGTTATAGCTATTTTATAATTTAATCATTTTTCACAAATACACTACATGTATTATAATGTTTTTCCCCATTAGCTTATTTTCTCATTGCACAGCTCCTGTCTTCCTCTGCTTCCAGCACAGCTTGTTTTAAGGAGAGCTTTTATCCAATCAGATTCAGCCCCTATTTCTCTATGTAAGGAGAGAGGCCTGAGGTCCTCTAGGCAGACTTTGCAGTCTAAGTGAATGGGGACGATATTGTTGATTGGCATAGTCTTCAACCAATCAGATATTTAGTTTGACATGTTCATGGCTTATTCTTTGACGTGCTGATGCTACCCAGGTAGCCTGCTAAGTACGTCAGCATTAATGTGTGCCGTGATTGGTCAATGGGCAAGCACGTGACTAATGTGAAACTTAAGGAAGCTGGCAGAAGTTAGTTGGAGTAGTAAGAATTCAAATTGAAAGAAATAACATTTTTAGGGTTTTGCTTGGTGTAGATTATTCATTTTTTTTACCTAGCTTTGTTTTTGCCATAAAAAAAAAAAAAAAAAAAAAAAAAAAAAAAAAAAAAAAAAAAAAAAATCAGGCTTGAACGCGCCACTGATGTATACGTAGTTAGTGATGTCTGCTCTTTTCATTGGTGCTAATGTTTATGTTTACATTCTATCTGCAGGTCACCCTTTTGACAGTTAACGTTTGCCAAAATGTGGAAAAAACCGAAGACCGCAGAGTCCACGACCAACCGACGATGTACAGTATTACAATTCAGCCTTTTTCTTCACATCTGTCTTTTTTATGCTTATTCCTGTCCCATTCCACTGACCTAAGCAATCGTTAAGTGGTCTGGTGTCCATCTATTGCCAACATAAAGTGGTGCTGTAGCAGATCGAAGCAAAAATTGTTGGATGAACTTTAAGCTCCTTATTCGCCTTCACTGTCATAAAAAAGCATAATGTAGGCCCTGCTGTATTGTTTTGTAAAGGAAAAAAACATATTAATGAATCATATAACACGAATATTAAAAAATCTGTCTAGAATGAACTAAACTATGTGCAAGTTAATTCATCACTCAAAGTGGAGGAAAATGAGCTGCATGCTAATCCTGCCAGAACACAGCATATTGCTGGAGTCAAACAACTTAGAGAAACATGAAGGTGATGAATCATCAAATTGAGTAATAGTCAGGCTTCAACACTACCTTGAATATCTACTACTACCACCATCTTATGTTTGTATTCATAAGGTATTTTTCCTTTACTGTTGAAAACAATGGTTACTGTATCTTTCAATCTCGTCAGTTTAAAGCGGTGTCCCTGCTACCAACATGGGAACATAACTGAACATTTGTTTGAAGCAGCGATAATCAATATTTTTACAATCATGTATCAAATGACAATGTGTAAATTGTGATAATGTGAAAGGGGTAGTAATGAATCTACACAGAGTTTGTACCATAAATCCGTAGCTCTTCACAGTTTTAAGCAGCTTGATAATGTCACTAGTTTTTTAGCTGTCCGGCCCACAACTTTTCTGGTACTTTCATAGCGTAATTCTTGGCATTTTTAGCAGCTAAAGAGTCAGACTTCTTTTATTGTATGTTAAAAAAGATAATCATTGAAGCTACTGCAACAGTTTATATTGTATCTGTGAAATGCAATGTAAACAAACTTTCCCTCCAACCACATGATGTACAGGATCTCCATCAACTTATAAAATGCATAAGAATTATGCGAGTTGAAGTTTGCCCAGCTGATAGGCAGCAGTGAACTGAAGGTCTTCTCTGTCAGGCTTCAGTGGTGAACTGAGGATGAGAAGAAAACATCCCTGAATTAAGGTTGCCTGTCGGCTGCCCTTTGCTGTGACCCTCTCAGTGCTTCAGTTTATTCAGGCCTTTACGAGCTTTCCTTTTCCACATTATGGCCGACTGGGTCACTTCCAGCCTCTCCGTCCGCTATTTCAGTCTCTCACTCAATTACTTCTGTCCGTCGGCCTCTCTCTCTATCCAGCCATCTATCAATCACTTTCACCTAGAAGTAAATAAATGCTTCACCGGGCTTGGATAATCATCAACATTTCTGAAAATATACAGAAAATGTCTGCAAGATATAACCTATAAGTTCACAGAGGTAGCTAATAAGGGACAGCTCCTGTTGGACACATACTGTATTGAATATATCTATCTATATCTATTTCTCTATATCTATACTGTATATCTATATACATACATACATACACTTCATGTCCTGCTATAGCATTCACTCATGTAGCTTTAACTGATCTACTGTCATTTCTTTCCACCCAGGTTTCTCACTCGTCCATCAATACATTCAGCGCTTTAATGAGGTGTCTGGCAGCAAGTCAGGTGAAACAAAAGAGCCGCTTTATTTTCTGGTAGAAAAACATAGAATGTCTCATTGAACTACTGTACGGTTTGAATACAATACTGAGCAATATTCATTATTACGAATAATGGAATTCATATTGAATAATACATTAGGTATTATTGAATACTGTGTCTGCTTCCGGCCTGTCCTGCCTTTGTGTTGATAACGTGAAATGTCTACTGTATTTACTGCCGTCGCCAAATCAGTCGCCCTTGTGCGACAGGGATGGCGTTCCACCTATTTCAGTCCTCGTCATAATAACCTGTAATCCCTGGATTAATGTTGTTCCTCATCGACTCCTGTGTGATCCTCTATCTTTGCACATCCAAAGCCTGATAAGGAAATGTTCGGCTGCAGTGCAGGTGGGCAGAGGATCACTGTGTGGAATGCCATGCGCTGCCGTTTGAAATGCCTGAGAGAATTAATCTGTCGTGTTGTCATTTAACTCTGTGGGCACAGTGTGTTGAATATGCATGAAAGAGCCGAAAGGATTAGTCGATAGACAATAACCTGCTGCTACTGTAATAAAAGTAAATTTGTATTGTTATTTGCTATTAGTGGAATATATTGTATTGACAAAACGATTAATAGAGAATATAATTGGCAGATTAATACAGCATAAGACAATGGTTATTTGCAGACATTATGTGCAAATCTATACATGAGTTACTTTGTTCTAATATAATGTAAACAATGTTCAACATACTGTATATGTAATGATGAGTGTGAAATGTGAAATTGCTCTTACACTACATCTCTGGTGTAAAAGGTTGTACAATTCAAAAAGGAGCATATTAAATATGAGTTAAAGAGCAACTTCTATTTGATTATTTTTATTTAATTTTACAGTTAACATAAAGCTACCAAGTTGACAAAAATCTAAAGCAAACTAGATATATTTGAGATGTACAGTCTTTATCATGACTACCATAACATATTTAGTGAGCAATGAGCTAGAACAATTGGGTACAAAAACATGGCAGGGCTCATTGGCTGAAGTAACTTTAAGTGAACTCAAACAGCTAATAGATTTCCATCTTTTAGTGAGTATCTGTGGGAGAAAAAAATAAATCACTGGGGATACATTTGACATTCCTGACATCTGCTGGTAGCAAATAAATAAATCAGTTCAGGCCGACCCACTTGATCTGAATATATTTCAAATCCCCTTTTGTTTTTAATTGCAGGTTGTAAAATACTATGCTCGTAATTAATGAAGTTTATTTTCATTATTTTTGCTGGCTTTGTGTAGCTGTCATCCGGAGAAGATCTGAGACTCCTGGAGTAATGATCACGCAGTATGTATTGGACATACCAGAGGGAAAAAGCACCCCAGACTTTGAGAGTAAACCGATTCCAGTATCTATCAAGGAAGGTGGGTTTCATCATAACAGCACTAAAACTCTGATATTTATGCCATTGTATTGTGACCTAAGAGAGATGTGTGGCAATACATGACTAACTGATGAAAGAAATATGATTGGTTGGCTTTCATGGCACTATTGTCTAATGATGAAAATAGATGTGAAAATAAAGATGCAGTATTTTCACATGTCCTTTAGGGCAAGTAGCCAGTTTCAAGGTTGTGGTGAAAGGGGATCCGAAACCAGAAGTGTCATGGAGAAGAGCTAAAGGGCCCATTACAGACAAGAACAAATTTCAGAGTAAATATGATGAATCATCAGGAGAGCATATATTCGAGGTGAGTGACCAAATGATTTCACAAACAGTAAAAGTCCATGGAGTATATATCACTACTTGTTTTAGGCAGGATCACGATCCACAGTTCATAACAGTACAAATAAATGAATTTCCCCATTTCAAAAAATATGTCCTACAACAGAACACACCAGACTAAATGATGTTCTCAACACGTAATATTTGTTTTTAACTATGCATCAGTTACTTTTTCAAAATCCACATGAACCACTCTTCACTTCAGGATGTATTTGATCCACACACAGCAAAGAAGAAATGAATCAGTCAGCAAATGCTATTTTTTAAACTGAGTCGGGTGCAGTGCTCACTCCACATAAAAAACGATCAGCGGCTACATTACATCACTTCCGGCAAACTCCACGGTGAACAATTGACTGAATCGGGCAGCACATTCACGTGTTGTTCACTACAGAGTCCATTTGTAACCGGTACCGACGTCATTACCGTTAATTGACTCTCCATTGCTCTGTTTGAGCGTGGTGAAACAAAAGCTCTCAAACTACCAGTGACAGTCTGCTGAATGTTGGCAATGTCTGAGGGTGTTCAATCTATAATCCTCACTCGTCCCCGATTCTGGCTGCATAAAGTAGAGATGGCAAGTTGATTTGATTTTGGGGAGATTTCTATATAGCAGTGGTGCTAAACATTTAGTAGCGGTGCTAATCATTTAGCGGTGGCGCTGCACGGCTGTATGCAGAGGGAAACACTGGAAGCATAAAGATGCAACAGGTAGTCCACAATCTAACGTCGTCTCTGTAAAGGCGGATCGTTGAGGTGTTTTAATCGTTCACAATCTAATATCAAAGTGCACACCCCTCCCTTTGAGTAGTTGCTGCTCATGCTGCGTTTTTAATATCACAGTAAAACAGTGTTAACAGTAGAACTGTAATAAAATGCATGAATTCAATACGTACATCTGATAAGCCATATCGCACCTTATTTGTTTTTCTAGATTGTCAAAGTGTCTGGTGAGGAAACAGATACATACAAATGCTATGCTGCCAACGAATATGGAAAAGCTGTCTGCACAACAACATTAAATGTGATTGAGGGTAAGAGTTAAAGCAATACAGTTCTAAACTGATTGAGAATATTGGTTTGATGGCAGGGAGTCGTACGTCTCTAACTGGCGTTGTAATTCCCTTTAACACTTCTTCTCATTGTGTGTTTTTAATCATTGAAAAAGAACTATGTGTAGTTCCCCCATAGCTTTATCCGACTACAAATCTAAAGTATAGCTGTAGAAGACTAACAAACTTGAGATGAATTTGCTGCTTTCAGCTTCGAAAAATCCATCAGACTTCAGAAAACTGCTGCGGAGAAGGTAAGAAAACATATATGATGATGATAAAATATCAAACCAGATGTGTGCGAATTGTATCATTATTGTTGTTTGGCCAAAAATAGTTTTTCAACATTTGCTTGACACCTTTAGTAAAGTCGAGGAAAAAGCAGGAGGGGAAAACGATGAAAGATTCTGGGACGTAATGCTGAATGCCGACAAGAAAGACTACGAGCGCATCTGTACCGAGTTTGGTGTTGCAAACTTAAGTTTGATTCTCAAGAAACTGGATGAGAAGAAGAAGGAGAGGGCGAAAAATGAGGTGCAAAAAGATGCATTGATCTCCAGCTAAACCATCAGTCGTATTACAGAGAACATCTGGAACCAATTCACATATTATTGTTCTGTCTTATGCACAAATTTGACATAACTCTATAATTCTTAAAGCTCACACAAAGGGTGAAATGCAACCCTAACTGCGCCGCCATCTCTGCCATTTGCATTAAAATGATGTGATTTCCATGTATTTGGCACAGATTTTCCCCTTTCTATGCAAATTAGCCTAAATGCAAAAACAGTCCAATTCTGTTTTGAAAATACATGAAGGATGGCTATACAATTTTTCAAACAAATAAATTATTTCTTCCCTCTCCCTCAACGAAAAAAGGCAAATTAGAAGAAAAAAAAGCACTCAGCTGCAAAAGGTGATGGGCGTGTCTGCACTTAGTGCAAATACCTTTGTGAATCGGCCCTTAAGCCGGGGAAGACAGTGGTTGCTCATGATGCGTGCCATCATTACCGCAATCTGTTCTTTGTGAATTTGTATATAGCCCTGAAAAATTCCCGCCATGCGTTCTGACAACTATACCCTTATGTAATGTTCCGAATTTTATGGATGGACTTTACCTGGCAGTGATGATACAAAATGACGACAGTTTAAGTGTCCTCTGTGTACTTGGTAGGATGGTGGGATTCCATATGATGAAGATGGAACCGAGAATCACAGCCTTACGAGGGGTGGGAGAACGAATAATTCTAATATTAAGGGCCTGATGCAAAAGGTGGATGAAGAGGTCAAACTCCTCCTCCTCAACACAGGGCTGAATCTGATGGATGAAGAGGCCAGCCTTCTCTCTACAGAATTTAAACGTAGGTGCAGGGACGGTGTTTGGGATTGAACGTTCTTAAAGTTCCTTTAAGGTCCGTTTCATGATGGCGAGATTACTGTTTTAAAGACAGCTGGTGACAGTTGATTTCGGTTTTATGAATATGTATAGGTTTTTCTGGTTCAGCAGTGATACACACACCGAGTATCTCTCTTGTTAACTGTAGTAGCTTTGTGTTACAAAATGAATAGACGGCTCACTGACTTAATTGTGTTGATTTTACAGTTTCCAATGTGGACTTTGTTGTAAAAATTCAGGAGCTTAAAGCTTTAGAAAGAGAGGACGCCCTCTTTGCGTGTGTGCTGACACACCCACTACCTAAGATCACATGGATGGGCAAAGGCGGCACCCTGGAGGAGGGAGAGAAGTACAGCATCACCGTGTCGGACCACAAACTAATCCACCGACTGCTGATCAAAGACTGCAACCTGCTGGACAAAGGCATATATTCAGCTGTGGCTGGCATTACATCCTGCAGTGCCTGGCTGGTTGTTCTAGGTAACACCCAACACTATAATGCACCAAACACAAATTTTTCAGCGAGTGCTGAGGTGATCCTAATTGCTCCCATGATTTCTACAAACAAAAAGGTGAATTATGCGTCATTTATGTTGTATTTCATATCCTCTAAGCTGAGAGCGACCCTGCATCTGCCGAGCTGAAGAGAGCTCGTAAAGCTACCTTGGCAAGTGGAGCTCTGATCGACCTCGAGAAGGTGGCCAAAGATCAACAGATAAAAAACAGAGAGGAGATGGAGAAGATTTTAGCAGCAGTGAAAGCAAAACACAGAGAAGGACAAGTGGAGGAAGGGAAGTCGATAAATGGAAGAGATGGTGCAGTCACTGGACATGGTAAAAACAGCGGAGCAAAGACCGGTGCCAAGATCAAAAACTCAAAAGGAAATGGCACAGAAACTAAACTAGATGCTTCGGGGCGCCTTATTGGTGACCCTAAGAGCAAGAAGCGCATCAGATCAGGTCAAATGGATTTTGACAAGGTAACAGGTAAAGTCGATCTATGCCTAACAATGACAATCACCGTCAGCACTGCAGTGAGTAGTCAGTGTGGTTAAAATGTGTTTATGATCAAAACATGCAAACTTGCTGCCATTTTTCTTTAATTATCTATTACTCTTATTATAAAAGTAATAGAGTGGATTAATTTATAACATGATTGGATCTCAGCTAAAATATTGTGTTTGCCCTTTAGTGCTTTGGTTCCAAGTTTTATGACTCTTAAGAATCTTGATGATAATTGATTAGCAGTCCATCAACTCAATCAGCATCTGATTGTTTTGGGAACTACTTTTCTGTTCACCAAATATTTAAAAAAAAAAAAAAAAATGGTACATGCATCTTTTGTTCCTGTCATGGTTTAGATGTGATGCCCTTTAAGTTGTAATCATTAACTTTTAAATTACAGCTGTAAATTTAAATGGCCGACGAAGTGGTTTCCACACAACAAACCTGATCAACATCACTCCGACAGCTGAACTATTCTACCATAATTGACATTCCACAGATACAGATGAAGAAGGATATTCTGAAGACGATGAGGACTTTCCTGGATCTGCCAATAATTCAAGATACAGAAAACATGATCAAGAGACAGAACCTGAACAAACTGGTGAGATAACGTGGAGAAAATGTCCTGCTCCATATCCATATTTATGTAAATGATCCATTTCCTTCCTTGTCGACACTTTTTGAGATGTGTTCAGTTAACATGCCTACTTAACAGTATTGATTCCACTGATTGTGTGTTGTTTTCTGTGCAGAGTCCAGCTGTAGAGATGTTGATGCCACAAGTCAAAACGACATGACTGATTGTGATGGAAATACAGACTCTAGTAGGACTGTCAGACAGCCAAGGCGCACAAAGAAGGCTCAACGGAAACAACGTACATCTGGTAAGAAACAACAGGTAACATATTGACTGCATGGAAGAAGCTGCACCCTCATGATCACTCACACTTGTATCACATATGGTCATTTTATTTGAGGCTGATCCAAACAAAGAAAATTAACTGAAAGTTCTTCAATCTTTCAAAGTGTACAAGACTGAATAAGCATCTGATACACTGCAAACAGGACTATTTTCTCTTCAAATGGGTTTAATATAGTTTTAAATGTTATTGAAATACACCCCACTGCTGGAGAAATTGTTATAATAATGAACTTGTGAAGTATGGTGATGAGAAAACAGCTGGTACGGAGTTCTTGGGAGGTAACTCAGTCTGCAGTCCTTGTTGCTCTGCTTCTAGGGCAAGATCCAAATGAACTAGCAAGTGACGATGAAGAAAGTGACGGTGATGAGAGTGACGGTGATGAGAGTGACGGTGATGAGAGTGACGGTGATGAGAGTGACGGTGATGAGCGTGACGGTGATGAGAGTGACGGTGATGAGCGTGAGGACTCTACTGGACAGCTCAAGCATTCACGTCGTTCAAAGCGAAGCCAGCAGCTACAGAAAGCAATGAATGGTAGGAGACCACAATGTGCCACATGGAAGTGCAGTATGGGTAAATGGCCAGAAAATAACATTGTTTTTTACATTTTTAAAAAAGGTGAGAGTACATATCTTGAAGACCACAGTGAGTATGACGAGACTGAAGATGCAACTGGCGCAGCCACACGTTCAAGGCGTAAAAGACAAGGTCCACCGATAGAAGACATGCTGATTGGTAAGCAACCTAAAGGGTGTCACTGAATCAGAGGAAGAGGCTCCAACATCACCAAGTGTACCTGCTTGTTACATGTATAGCTTCTCATGGTAACACACATCTTAAAGATTAGTTTCCATAGTATGCTTTACTCTATATGCATTGAATCTCTACTCATGACATTTTTGTATTTTCTTATAATTTAAGAGCCTGGAAGTGTAGGAAACCACACAGTGCCTAACTGTTCATTGTCTTGTGTCTGTGTTAGATCCAGGAGTTCATTTCATCTGTGGTTTGTCTGATGTCAATGCCATCATCAATGAGAGTGCCGAGTTAACATGTAAGCTCAGCAGTGAAGACTGTGAGGGAGCCTGGTTCAGAGACGGCAAAAAGGTTAGTCGTAAAAGGTCAAACTCATCATTTTCTCGCGTACTATGTACGTATCTGTCAAGAAGGCGATTATATATTTAGTGATAATATTTGTTATTCAAGGATAGTTACAGCGTGGGAGCTCAATTACTAAAATACGCAGAGCAAAATAGTAGAAAAATACATTAGCATTTTCCTTATGGTGGTAACTGGAAATGACCACATGTTTCATAAGTTATGAGTGACATACTTCAAACATTTGCCAGATGTTTCTATTCTTTGGGCGTTTTTGGGACACAACAGAGCAGGACATAATCCCTTTTGGCCATGCAATGTTTCTGATTTAAAAGAACAAATTAACAGTTGTTGCTTGAATTGCTTATTATCATCTGGCTGCCCCCTTTTCCTATCAGATATCCCCAGATGACAATTTCACTGCGAGTAAAGATGGCACGATCCATAAATTAGTCATAATCAGGTGCGAGGAAGAGCACTCTGGGAAATACCGCTTTGAGGCAGATGGTCGTAAAACAGAGGCGATGATCAACGTCAAAGGTTTGACAATTTGTCATGATATCAACAATGATGCGATATGATATATTAGCCACTGAACGTAATCAGATCACAGCTAAACACCACTTAATTGACAAACTGGCCTGTTTTTGCAGATCCCCCGAGGTTTGACCACGAAGACGTCATTGCTTTCACTGAGCCTGCGACGGTTAAAGCGGGGCACAACGCCATCTTCAAACTGCATTTCGTTGGCCATGAACCCGTAAAGATTAAGTGGTACAGAGAGGAAGAAGAGCTCCTCGATGACAACAACACAATGATAGAGAAATCTGCAAGTCACAGCCGCTTGCTCCTGAGCAGGTGCCAGAGAAGGAACACGGGGGAGATCAAGATTAAGCTCAAGAATGAACATGGCTTCATTGAGGCCATTTCACAGTTAATTGTGCTCGGTGAGTGAATGAAGGACAATGCAGGAATTCAATACAGGAAAATGTCTTATCACGAGCAGATTTTCTTTTTCTTATGCTCTATAACTCAACAATACAAAAAGGTCAGTCAATTGTTTGTCAATTAAAAGGAAATAACTCAACATCCAACTCCTTGAATACAAATCTAATCTTTGCAGATGCCAAAAGATGTGATTTGTGCAGCAAGTTGTGTAGTAAGAAGTACTTTGCTGGAAGATCTGAAGCGGCAAACAGCAGTGTTGTTAAATGCTTCACAGCTCATCCACATAGCCTAATTGAGAAAATCAGGCCAGTCTTTTCTCTATCAAAAAAGGGGCACATTTCACTGAGCCCATCTGTGCCTGGACAGATTTAGGTACTTATTTTCCAACTGCAGCTCGTTTTTGTTCTACTTGAAGAGGAATCCCAGTTGGTGATAATGTGACAGGTTAAAGATGTGTTTTTAGAATACATTTCAGTGCGTGACAGAAGTTATTATGTTCAAACCTCTGCTACATCTGCCATCGCTGCCAGCATCACAACTGTCAGATTATCTCTCGATGAAAATGTTGTTTCCCATAGTATAATTCACTCTGACTTTCAAGTTGTAACGAACACTTTTCTGATGTTTCAGACAAACCCACTCCACCCCTGGGTCCTGCAGAGGTAACAGAGAGCTCAGCTGTTTGTATTGAATTTAAGTGGAGGCCGCCTAAGGATGATGGCGGCTCACCAGTGATCAACTACACGATTGAGCGACAGCAGGTGGGACGAAACACCTGGAAGAAAATGGGGGAAGTCCCAGGTGTGCCCAGCTACCGCGATACAGACGTGGACCATGGCCGGAAATATTGTTACCGTGTCCGGGCAGTTACTGCCGAGGGTACCAGTGAAGTGATGGAGACTGATGATATGCAAGCCGGCACTCTAGGTGAGGCAAACTGGTACTTTTGTGGCATCCGTTTGATCCACCAACTAATCTACAATCCTATGATAATAGATGATCAACTGCACCCACTGAGCTTTCACATTTCATCTAATCTCAGTTGAACATAACTGAACACTTTCATTGTCAAATGACAAAAAGTCCTCCAACATCCATTCTTCTCTTGGCATTACCTGTACATACAAAATTCCCCCACAATACCAAACTAAAGACAATGAATCCTGCCAATGCCAAGTCACACGGCAAAGCAATAAGACTATAGTACAGTCACTTTCATTGTCCAAAATGGTCGCAACATTTGGGCTAAATAAAGTAGGACAATGCCACAACAAGCACAGGCCCTGTACGGCGCAGAGGCCGACACAACACAAACGAAACACACGTATAATGCAGAAATACTGACTTGCACTTACTTATTGAGGTCTTGAAAAGGAATACTCCATCATCCAGTCCTTCCTTTGTGTGGTGTTTGAGTTCTCCGTCAGTCTCCCCGGTCTAGAAGACTCCAGAGAAAAGTGGTCCATGACAAGTCTGAAGAAGTCCTTTTTCCTCCAAAAGCTGTTGTTGTTGGAAAACACTTCACATTTAGTTTGGATTGCAGATAACTTTATCGCTGCTGACTAAGTCACACACCGGTCTTTCATCTCAACATCAGTCTATCTGCATATCTGCAACGAACAACATTTTTTGTCTCCCCCGACCCCTTCACGAAACATAGTTTTCCCCTTAAAAATATGGTGTAAAAAATGTCTTTACTTCATTTTTTCCATTAGATTATTGGATTAGGTAGCTAGTTATTTGTCACAACTAAATTTAAGGGATCAATCATGAACACTGCAGAGAATTCACAAAAATTGGTGGAGTTTCTAGCAGCCATGTTTTAAGTATAAGGTAACTTTACATATCTTACAGTAAACACTGTACATTACATTTCTTAGCAGGTGTAGTAGTGTATAGTTAACGTGACATGAACTAAACACTAGCATACTAATGTCACCAAATATCAACATGCTATCATCTAAAAATGTAAGCCAGCCCACTGTAGTAACATAGCTAGCTAGCTAATGCATTCTAACATTTGTTTTCACGTTTGTGTACCTTTTTAAGTTATTACTACCCATGAAACCCATACTAATAAAATGAAAATTAACAAAGAGAGTAAAAATAATCTGGTGGAATAAGTCTGTTTTGGCCTTTCGTGTAAAAGCTATTTCATATGTGACTTTAGCACTAGGCTAATTAACTAAGGGATCATATTGTTAGTTAGCTAGCAGAGCTAACATCAAGTAACCTAGCACAGCAACCATTTATTTTTCAAACCAAACTGTTACTGTTTGACAGTTCTTACCACGTTTCTGGGTTAGGGGCGTGTGCAAAAGGCAAAGACAATTTCAAGACAAATGTCAGCAGAGACTGGTGAAGATACCTCTCACGTGGTCTAACATCACTGAATCCAACTGGAAAAGGCACACAGTGTCATATTGCTGAAACTGCCAAGCTGCTGATGTTCCTGCATCCATCATCAGTCTAATTATTCACACCTGTTCCTCTCCCACTGTGGCTTGTCTGTTTGAGCATCAGTTGATTTAGTGTCATTACTGCCCCCTGCTGTGCTCCATTACTTCTGAGTCTTACACCCCCCATGTAGGCTATCACAGAGATTATGAGGAATGAAACACAAGTAAAGTCAGTCTGTCTTTCCATCTATGATAATTATAATTATCATTAGTTATATTCAAGTCAAATTGCCTGTTTTTTTTCTGATCAGCAGCCCCAAAATATGAATTAATATGTCAATATACAATGATATAAGATAAAAGGTGCAAATTCTTACACTTGTCCAATAAATTTCTTTCACTCAACTGATCAATTGAGAGGCTGATCTTTTCAACAATGGGCTGATAAGAATAACTAGAATAATAATTGTAAAGTTTACATGAATACTGCACTTTTCCAAAAGCAAAGGATTTACCTTTGGAGTGTAAATCTAAGCAAAACACTGCACAGATGTCAGATGTTTGTAAGATGGCCATGTTACAAAGTATTTTGGTGGATTCTTGTTCATCAATCCAGCATTGTTACCGAACTAAGTAGAGTATCACACTAAAAAAAATAGTTCAGCCTTTCTGACTACAACCTTTCCAGTTTTTTTCTGTATCTTTCAGCTTTTCCTGGCCCTCCAGCACCTCCGAAGGTGGTCAGCGCCTACGACGACTGCGTCAACATTTCCTGGACTTCACCGAATAAAACAGGAGGTTCACGTATCCTGGGCTATATTTTAGAGAAACGCAAGAAGGGGAGTAATCTCTGGGCCGTTGTCAATGCCATGGATGAAGTCATAAAAGGTCTGTACATTTTAGTTGGCTCTCTTTCAATCTGATGGCATTGAAGACCACAACAGTGATGTTTTGTTGTTGTTGTTTCTCTGAAATTACTTTCAGAGAAGAAATATGCAGTGAAAGATGTCGTGGCAGGAATGGAATATGAATTCAGAGTCACTGCCATAAACCTCTCAGGAGTTGGTGAATTCAGCAACCCCTCAGAGTTTGTTTTTTCACGGGATCCAAAGAGTAAGTGCTGCTAAACATGGCTAAACTCAACAATAAACAATAGATTGTGCGCAATATATTCATGTACATATGATATGTATGATATTGCAAACTGCATGACCTAATGTTGTGGACCCCAGAGCCTCCTGGTAAAGTTACAAACCTGAAGGTGACAGAAACTTCTTACACCCACTTGGTCCTGACTTGGACCAAACCGGAGGATAAACCAGAGATACAGGATGAAGCAAAGGGATATTTTGTTGAGATCCGACCTGCAGAGTGCCTCGAATGGTCCCGCTGTAACACCACTCTCATCATCACGACTTCCTTCAGCGTGAAAGGCCTTAAGTCCATGAACATGTACTGGGTGAGAGTAATTGCGACAAATGACGGGGGAAAGAGTGCTCCCGAGGAGCTGGCCAACTATGTCCTTGCAATGCCGTCACCTGGTATGTCAATAAGTCAAAAGAAATGAAGAAAGCAAAGTAATATGCTGCTGGTTAGTTGTGTTATGCATTAACATTTTGAAACTTTCCAAAGTCCATTCTGTTTCTTCCCCGTCTACCACGTAGCTCTTAATATTTATCATTTCCTAATGCTGCTCTTCCTGATCTGTATAGTGCTGTATGTTAACAGAAATATTTTCAAGGTACTGAATCACTGACCCTTCATTTCTTACTCATCAATATCTGTATGTATTAGAGGATTTTTTTTTTCCCCACTATGTAAGAACGTTGTCAAGTTAAATATTTTCCAAAGCACTTGCCGTCATTGCTTTTGCTCATTATTCTAGTGAGGCCAAAGTTCACAAACCGCAAGATGAAGAGCTTCTTGGTGGTGAGGGCAGGGAACTCTGTCAGGATCACAGTGAACTTTGAGGTGAGATTTAAACTTCAGGTTAATTATCGGCAACACACTGAGGCAAGCCGTGGTTTGGAGGGAAATCCAAAGGTTGTTACATTCGGGCCTGAAATATTCAAGACAAGACATTACTGATGTCCTCTTTTACAGGCCTCCCCTCGGCCACATATTATGTGGGTAAAGGACAACGTGCCAGTGACAAAACGAGTCACAATCAGCAACTCTGATGGCTCATCCCAGCTGCTGATCCCCTCGTCTGAGCGCTCTGATTCGGGCATCTATTCCATTTTGGTGAAAAATCTCGCAGGACAGGAGACATTCAGTACAGAGGTCAGGGTCACAGGTAAAACTAAAATTAAGACTTGTATTTTTCTTTTACTACATCAATGTCCAAGTAATGGATGAGCCAGTAAAAGGATTGTGGTTACAGATGATCCGAAGCCTCCTGGACCGGTAGAGCTGGATGAGAACGTGCCCGGCACGGTGACGGTGATCTGGCAGCCTTCTCCTGATGAGAAGCGCGATGACCGCCTCCACTACACAGTGTCCAAACTGGACTCTACCAAACGCACATGGACAACAGTGGCTGAAAAACTCTTCAATAACAGGTTTACAGTCTGCAACATCATGCACGGGAGGGAATATCACTTCCGGGTGTATGCCAAAAACGACATGGGAGTATCTGCGCCGTCAGATTCACCAACCTGTGGGAAGGAGAAGAAGAAAGGTGCGTTCGTGGATCACAAACAACCTTGAATTGTCACTTCTTCAGGAAAATTAAATATATTTCTCATTCCTCGTAGAAAAATTTGTGGTGAGCGTACCGACCAGAAAGGACTGTGACTTGCGATGTGCTCCAACCTTCATTGTACCTTTGAAGCTTCACACCGCACCCAAAGGCTATGAATGTTATATGAGCTGTGCGGTGAAGGGAATCCCCAAACCTCGCATCACGTGGTATCGCAATCACATCAGCCTCAACACTGACACCAACTATTACATCTCCAACACCTGCGGAGTTTGCTCCATGTCGATTCTCCACGTAGGCCACAAAGACATGGGGGAGTACACCATCGCTGCAGAGAACGCCCTCGGACGGGCCGAGTGCTCCACCGTCCTCAGTGTCAAAGGTGAGAGAGAAACACTCCTGCACTTTAATCCAGAGGATGGGTGGAATATAAAGAAACATATCTAATTATGCAAAATTATTTCATCCTTTTCCCATACAGAGTGAAGAAACTAAAGACGCCAACAAGTTTAGATCTAATACAAAATGTTTGAGTTGAAGTGGTTGTGCTGCTGTAATGCACCATTTGCTACAATAACAAGGTTGGACTGTTGCATTACTTGGACTGCTAATAAAAATAAAAGTATTGCTCAAATAAAACAATGCATTTGGTGCTTTTGAAGATGATTCAACTTTTATCGTCAATGCACAGCATGGAGATGGTTGCGGTTTGACATTGTTTTTCCAGCTGCTTGTTGAGATTAGATGCACAGCAGCTTATGAAACCACATTCATCTAAAAGCAGATAACAGTAATGATACTGTGGCTGTTTGTTTAGACTCGTGCCCTTGCTGAGTCTTAATTGAGTTTATCATAGTTTGGAGGGCAACACGGTGGTGCAGTGGTTAAGAGAGTTTTTGGTGGAACTGGTTTGACAGGAGAAGTCAAGAAACCACAATGGATGCCCTTCCACAAATCAACAATGAAAGGGCAATTGACAACATGAATACAAACAAAATAAAGGAAAATAAGAGATCTGTAAAATGCAGTAGTGACAATAATCATAAAAGAGAGAGAGAGAGCGAGAGAGAGATAGAGCGAGAGAGAGAGAAAAGTTCAATTTTATCAGAATTTAAAGGCGATTTAACTAGAGTGCACATTCAACTAAGCATTAAACCCCTAGACTGAGCTCAGATGAATACAGATGGGATGTAAGAAGGCATCAAAGTCCACGTGGCCTTTATTAGAAATGTGCCCTTTCCACAATCTGGGCATCAATATGACTCATTTTTAAAGGACGATTTTGGCTACTATTGTAAAAAAAAAAAAAAAGGAAGAGACTATTATTAAGTGAATTGATTGATGAGGTCAGACTCATCCATAATAATAATAACTTTATTTATATAGCACCTTTAAAAATAGAGTTTACAAAGTGCTTTGACACACCAAGCAGCAAAAGCAAGGCAATAATAACAACATTATAACAGAAAGATCAGCAGTGAGACATAACAAAGCACCACAACTAAGGTAAGAGTTAAACCCGGATAAAACTGTACAATAGATGAAAGGGAAAAAAACATTATACTAAATTATATAAAATAATTTAGTAAAAAAAACAGTAAAATCAACAGATAAAAATAAAACAGTAAAGTGACGACATCACATAAGCCAGTCTGTAAAAGTGTGTTTCAAGAAGTGATTTAAAAGACATTACTGATGTTATAGCCCATGTTGTAGCCAGTCATGTCACACCATTATAACCCACAGTGGCCCTGTACGACAGAAGCGGGTAACTGCAGCAGGACACATGTAGCTCCGGGCTCCGCTGCAGTGAAGAGGCAAAAATAGCGCACAGTAAGCTACGTGTAGTTTCTCCATTAGATGACAGAAGCGCACATGGTGGCAGAGGCTCAGCCACTCCCCGTTGGCAGCCGCCCACCCTCCGTTCTTCCTGAATGGACGATCGCGGTGACTGCGGTCCACGCCCCCCTCTCACTGCCTCATCCTCTGCTCTACCTCTTCATCGCTGCAGCCTCTCGGTACTTTATTGCGCGCTGATTGAATCCAGCTCGGTTTGCGCAACTTTTAAGGAGCCTCCTGAGGTAAAACAACGCTTAAACTTCCAGTCCAGTCTGTTTGACGCACCGGGCTCCTTGGGTATCACCTCTCAGCCGGGCTAGAACACTTTGTCCTTTGTGGGTGTGGAAAATGACGGCAAAGCATCGAAGAGGGAAAGGCAACCACAAAAATGAGGATGGCTTCTTCAAAAACGACCTGGTGGAGTCAGAAGTTCGCGCTGGAGTCAATAATCAGGCTCTCCACTTGGTTTTATTCCTGCTGATTGTGGTTAGCGGTGCCACTGGCGCGTGGTTCTGTTTCCAGCAGCACCAAACTTTAACCCACTTAACAGACAATATCATGGGCATGCAGATGAAAATAGTGAAACTACAGTCCTCCCACGAAGAAATGCGACAGTCAAGCAGTGAGGTAAGAAATACAAATAAATCAAGGAGCCGTTTTCCCTGTGAGCATATGAAAGTCTCCCGAGATTGCAGCCACTAACGGCGCAATACGCATACGCGCAATACGCCTCCTGTGATATGTCACATATGTCCTATTGCAGCAGCCATATATTTCCGTGAGCTTCTGAGTTACACTTTGACTAAACAAGAAAAGGCCTCAGCACATGTCCCCACTGCGCGTTGCCACTTACAAGTGAGGGAAGTTGAGACCTGCAGGCCTCCTATCAGATTTCAAAATGCCAACAGCTTGACTGGAGTGAGTAGAAAACGCTGCTATTTCTAACATCCAAACAGCTGCTGACGTTTGTAATGAGGATTACTCTTGACCTACTACTGCAGGGACTTTTAAGCACCGACTCAAACACTGCGGATCTGCTCAGTATCAAAGTTCTCTGTGGAAAATGTCTTGTGTTTCTAACTGGAGTCGAGAACACAAGTCTAGAGCTGTGCAGACGATGCTGCCAAAACAGTAAGAAACAAGACTAGTAGTGAACCAGGGCTAAATTTAGTCTGCGACTTTGATACTGAACACCAGCTCAGAGGCTGTTTACAGGCCGTCGGAAAGGTTGTAGAAGAACAGTGATGATTGTTTCATATTGAAATACTGTGTGGGAATAGTAAAGTACTACTTCAAGAAACTTTTATTCCTCTTGTTCTATGTATCTGCATGAATGAACTACCTCTGTTGAGTCACTGCAAACAGGTTCATGGCTGCCTTGAGATACACTTCCCTCTCCACCTGTGACGTTCATAGTATTCCAACTATGTTGAAGTTGCTGCAGGCGACTCCTCGGAGATTTCTTTTCTAAACATGAACTTAACCAAAACAAATCCAGTACAACCTCTCCTTCCCTCTCTCATACAACCCCACCTTTTTAATGAGGCAAACACTTTGCATGAGAACAGCTCTGCCAGCTCAGTCTTGTTACAGACATGGTTCCTGTTCCAGCAGCGGTAAATCGTTTTTTTGTAAGTTTATTTGGAAGGTTTTACCAACTCAATGCTGGTTCTCTAATACTGTCCTGAGTTTGGCTCCTAATGAACATACTTACCTGAGAAAATCACTTCTTTGCATTACTTCATTATGCAAATTCAATATTCAACCTGCCAAAGATTTTATAAAAGAGCTTGGGCAGCAAAATCATAAAGGGACAGTTATAAAATATGAGTAACAATGATGGAAACAATCAGAAATGTGATATTTACCATGTGTATACACACATACAGTAACAGTTATCAATCTCAAAAGCAAGTGATGTTCATGTTTACAAACAATATCGGTTAAAGAATCTGTGTACAAAAGAACTAAAATATCAAAAATATTCAAACATTTAAGAGAAGTGCGCAAAAACTATATAATAGTTCTGCAGAGCTACTAATGCTTTAAAGCTGAACTAAAAAGTTATTGCATAGTATTACTATGATAATACAGAACACTATTACAAAGGTTTTAGTTTATTACAAAGTTTGTTTCACGTGACTTCTTGCAAGGAAGTAAGGTTTCACTGAGCTGTACTTGCATGATCAGACCTGTTCTGATTGTTTAAAGAAATGCTTTATTTATTTTATGGACCTAAATACCCTGATATGGTAGGAGAAATATCGTTTTTCTGATTTTAATTAATAGAAAACTAGAATTGTAAACATCTTTTGCATCTCAGAAGTTTGGTAACATAATGTTTACTTTATAATAAAGAGTAGTTAAGAGACTATCGAAGCACCAGCTCCGTCAGAATGATCGTCACACCATGTGGCCATCTTGACCTAACTTCGCTCCCCTATGTCTCTTTGCAGCAGCACGTTTCAGAGAGCCTGGAGACCCGCCTGAATGCCCTGGAGGATTCTTATGCACTGGCCCAGAAACAGGTGGGCATGGCCTTGGCCACGGCTGAGCAGCTCAAGAACTCTGAGCTCCCCTCTCAGGTGCTGTCGCTCCACACGGAGATGAGAGCCCGCCTGGCAGCGATGCAGCAGGCCACCGTGTCCATGGAGCAGCTGAGCCAGCTGCAGACCATGCTGCAGGGGAAGAGCGAGGAGTTCGAGGGGGTCAGGATCCAGGTGGACGGCCTGGCCACGCTGAGCGCCGAGCTGTCCCAGAAGGTCGGGGTCTTGACGGGGAGCGTGGGGGAAGCGGAGTCGAAGCTGGAGGAGAGAGTGGGACACGTCACCACGCTGAGCGCCACTTTGGACGGACATGCCGCCGAGGTGCTCCGACTGAAGGAGCAGCTGGACACCTACCAAGCTCAGCTCGAGGCCAGCACGCTGGAGATGGCTACCGTCAGGTGGGTTGTGGAAGAAAAAAAGCTGTGGAGGAAATAGCTCACCTCCTCTGACCCATAGCTTTATGTTGACTTTGTCAAAGCCCCTTTCGCTGTCACTGTCTCTGTGTTCCTCTAGTCCACAGTCATTATTCGCATTGTAAGAGTTCCCTGATCTGCATTAACATTTCTATTGCAGAGATGATTTTTGGAGCTGAATGGTTTGGCATTAAACGTCCTTTGAGTGTAAAATGAGCGCGCTCTTTGAAGCTTATGTAAACATCATGTAAATGTTCTATTGTTGCGCATGTGAGATTAGCAGAAAGCAGCCAAATGAAGGCATTGGTGACAATATTTTAACAATAAGGGGCCAGGCTTCATGGGGCTGGACAATAGATTCTATAACATCATTATTATTATTATTATGTGACAATTTCAAAACCATAATTCCACTCACTGTCTTTCAGAGGGTTGATTGAGATTGAACAGTCCCAGCGGCTCCAGCAGGCCAGTGTGGAGGAGCAGCTCGATACGGTACGTCAGAGTCTGGAGGATCACCAATTTAGTTTTTTTATTAATGCGCAAGCTATTCTTAACTCCGCCCACAAAGCTCTGATTGGACGATTTATTCTCCAGCTGGCAGAAATATTGGTCAACACCAAGAGAACTTTAATTGCTGAACAAATCATGATGCATGTGGCGATTCTGGAATCATACTAAATCAGATCATATAAAATAAATAACTGAATATGTCACAGATGCATTTTCAGAAGCAGTTGTGTATCATTACATTATTCTAGATCTATTATGGCAGAACATGCGTGACATGCCCGAGCACACGTACTGTCAGCACACATGGTCTCTTTGCTATTTCTGTCCACTCTGTGCCCAAAGGAAACCATAATGAGATTTTCATCTCGTTAATTTGAAGGAGCTAATTGCCAGGCATGGAGTCCCTGATGGGTTTACATTCTACACTTACATTAATACATTGTCTATTACAATTCCTATCCAGAATCTGGTCTACTATGAACTAATATAATTATTGCTTCCTATTGCTGTAGCCGGTGGGACAGACGGAGGAAGAGACAGCTCCCGCGGCTGAAGAAGAGGAAGCTGCAGCAACTGAAGAGGCACTTCCTGCTGATGTAGAACAAGAGGCGTCCAACCCAGAAGAAGAGGCAGAGGCAGATGAAGGAGAAGAAGCAGCTGCACAGGATGAAGCACCTGTCGAGCAGGAGGACTCTGTGACAGATGAAACTGCTCCTGCAGAGGAGGTTGAGGCAGTAAAGGAGGATCAGACCGAGCAAGACGAGCCAGTCGCCCTATCAGAGGAGACAGCAGAGGGGGTGCGGAGTGAAGAAGAGCCTGAAGAGGAGAACCAGGAAGCAGACGAAGAGGAGACACACAAAGCAGAGGAGGAGCAGGAGGAGGAAGCAGAAGAGGAGATGTTGTCTGAAGCAGAGAAGGGACTGGGAGGGGAGGAAGTGTCAGAAGGGGAAGAAGTGTCAGAAGGGGAAGAAGTGTCAGAAGGGGAAGAAGTGTCAGAAGGGGAGGAAGTGTCAGAAGGGGAGGAAGTGTCAGAAGGGGAGGAAGAACAGCAGGATGTAGCAGCTGAAGAGGAAGCAGAGGAGACGGATGAAGAAGAGGAGCCATTAGAAAATGATGCTTTACCAGAGGATGAATGCAAGTAAAAATATATCATGAAAACAATTTGATTTTCCAATGATCAATATATGTATTGACGTCACTGCATTGCAAAATGCTAATATTTTCTTGTTTTGATGTGTTTTACAGAGAGCATGTCACCAGAAAGGGATTTTTTTTTTTTCCATGCCGGACACATCCACCAAGAGGAATGGGAACTTTCTCAGAATATTATATAACGACTGTAGGAAGGCATTATTGATTGCTGTTGTTTAGGTGCAGTATTCAGTACGTGGTTTCTCATTGGAAGGCAGACCTCAGTCAGAAGAAACCAGTCACTTCGCTGGATTCAAAGCTGAAACATTTACCTCAAAATATGACGTGGCTGTTAATTAAGTTAGGAAATGAGTAATTCAGGGTTTTCCTGCCAATAACAACCTCAGAAGCCTTAATCCATAAAATAACTTTCTACAGAGCATTTTTCACTGTTCATGACTCACACTTTGTTTATTGTCAAGGTTATGTTCTGTACTAAACTGGAAAACTAAAAGCCAATGACATGAACTGTCTATCAATGCAGCTGAAGAAATGTGTTTTAAAATGTGTTGTACTTTTTCTCACCGTCTGAAATGTATTGTGAGATAATATTTTAACAGTTTCGATTACTGAATGTATCCCAGTTGTTTACTCAGGCAACACGGCCAACTAAAAAGCAACTTTGATAAGATAAACAAGAACAATTCCTGAATGTTTTTAAAGTAAAGGAAAGACTGGAGTTGATATATTTCTTTTTAAACTTTTTACAGTACTTAAGAACTTGAGGTTTGCTTTTTTAACTGATTACAATTCCTCTCAGACCTGGAGTATTGTAAAATGCAGTGGTCAACAAGTCCTCTACCAAGAACTGTTTCAGCATCATTCTACTGCTTTAATACTTTGTTAGTTCAGACTTTACATCCTTTAATAATTTAACAAATAACAGCTGCATATTCTATGCACTAAAGTCACTACTAATAATGTTCTACCGTTAGTGGAAAAATCTTTCAAATTTAAGAAGAAAACAGTTTAAAACATGCGGTCAAAGCACAAAACTGTGTCTCTGATAAGCTCTTAAGACAAGAATAATGTGAAATCTTAAATAATGCAGAACAAAATGTGCAAGCTTTGATTATGGCAAAGAATAAGATCAGTTATTAATACTGTCAAATATATTGTTATATCAGCTCTTTTCAGACGTGACAAATTATGTCATGCTCATTGTCGGATGTGTTCTTGGTAGTATTGTCAGACCTGGACACCACTGGACTTTTCACTTTTACAAAACGCACTGTATTTGCCAAGGCATTGGTTACTGTTAGTATGACACTTCCTCACATTGTCATGATTTTTTAAATAAACCCTGGTTCTTTCACTTCTGTATACTTGATTCTGTGCTGTTGTGTCATACACAATTCATATTGATCATATTGCGTTAACGGTACTTGGTGTATAGTACTTGTATAGCCAAAGCCTGACATAGCTTAACCATAAGTGCAATATAGCTCAGGTGTGATCCAAAAACAATTTGAAACACACCAATGAGCCACATGGTTGCACTGGCTGACATGTTCTTTCATTACGATGGAAACGCTCACAGACCGACAGCAGGAAACAAATGCACTATCTACCTCCGTTTATCAGTTCCCAGATGTTTTATTATATCTGCACGTTTCATGTGGACGGAAATGACATTTCAAGAATGAGCATTTTAATGTACATTTAGCCGCAAATCTTAATGATTATTAAATTGAAATTGTCACCTAATGAAAAGAGGCAACCTTTAACTTTTTTTTTTTTACTATGGCAAAGGGAAACTGCAACTGGCTCACAATGGATGCATTCATACAACTTATCAAATAACACCCGAATCAAGACATCAGTTTGCTGCACACATGTTGAACTGAAGTGTGAAAAGACTTTGCTTGCATTAGACCTTGGTAGACAGGAAGTCTCTCTCTCTCTCTCTCTCTCTCTCTCTCTCTCTCTCTCTTTCTTTACAGTCATTTTGTTCAGCCTCTCCCACACATCACTGCTGCAGTGTCTCAGTGCATCAGTCTCTGACCTTCTACAGGGACCATGCAAGCATTTGTTCCCAGGTAAGTTTCAGAGACACTGAGTCATGCTGTTCTATTCCTGGATTCTTATTTCACCTATTTCATCTTCAGCCTGACAAGCCACTGTTTTGGCAAAGCTCCTCGACCTTCTGTTTGTCATCTTAATGTGAAGTAACGATGCTCTGTACCGGTACTGTAGGCCTCTTTGAACTGATGTATTGTGAGCTTGCAGTTTCTTACTTTAGGGACTGAAAATTAGTGCTTCTCTTTGATGAGCTTTTGTATGTACATTAGTAGTTATTGGCCTAGGGATATTGTTCTAAGTAACTATTTTAACGTATTCATTATTAACTTTTTTAAGCGGACAATTTTGCTGTAAAGGCCTTCGGGTTGCAGAACTGGGTGGACAAAATCGAACATCCTTTGCGTTGCACATTATACAGTAGAGTGAGCGGCTGACCAGCCCGTTGACTCTGTCAGGATTCAGGGTGACTCCACAACTGAGAGATCAATAGCAGTAAAAGCGTAGCAGAGGAGGGGCAGGCAGCTCTCTGGGTAAAACATGAGCCTCGCCACTAACGCTCGCTCAGCTCTTTCTGTGTCTGTTAAGCCTCTTGCGGGAATTGAGCTCAGGTCTTTAAGTGACAATGAAAATGCATTTTCAGGGCATCTTATCTTGCCTTCTTAATTCAAAGTTTTTCCGGTTTAAATGTGATGTTGGGGTGGTGCATAGTGCAGGGAGAAATCAGTGGGATGTTACACTTGCTGATGCAGCATGAGGTTACAGCTAAAGATATACATCTTTTTGCATTTTGTTTTCAGAAAATTAACATATACACACACACACGTATGTATACGTATACACACACGTATGTATACGTATACACACACGTATGTATACATATACACACACGTATGTATACATATACACACGTATACACATGTATACACACGCACACACATGTATACACACGCACGCACGCACACACACACACACACACGCACGCATACACACGTATACGTATACACACACACGCATACACACGTATACGTATACACACACACGCATACACACGTATACGTATACACACGTATACACACACGTATGTATACGTATACACACGTATACACACACGTATGTATACGTATACACACACACACACATACACACGCGCACACACACATACGCACACGCACATGCACACACATGCACAAACATTTTGACTGTTGATTTTCATTATTCAGGTCAAATTGATGTAATTTGTTACCCGTTATTGTTTCTCCTTTTGATTCACAGTGCTTTTTTGAAGAGTTATTACTTAAATCCTTATGGTTACCATTTTTGTTTCTCCACTCACCCAGGTCCTATCTGACCCCAGTCAGGGATGAGGAAGCAGAGTCTCAGAGGAAAGCGAAGTGTCGTCATGCCAGACAGACCCGCAGGTCAACACAGGTAAAGATCAAAAGGCTGACAGAAGTTCAGGTTTTATTGGATTGAGTTTTGACTGTATATTATATTATGAAGCTGTATAAATGTCCTGCAGGGAGTGACTCTGACTGACCTGAAAGAGGCTCAGAAGACCAACAGCCTTTCTCCTCAAGACAAACAGATGGAGGAAGGAGGCACTCTGGCTGAAAGGAGCTGTCTAAAGAAAGGCTTGACCGATGACAGAAGAGTCAAAATCGGCTCGACAGAGACCACGGAAACAATGGAGATCAGCCCCAAATTGAGCAAAATGGACGAGGTTAGTAGGGGGAATTCATGCAGACTGGGTATACCGGCCTCTGCAGCAGTGGTTGATCTGTATTTGATTTGGAGGATGTGTTTGTGATTTATCTACAAGTTGTGTATTTGTCCTCTTATGCTTGTACAGCAGGGGAACATTGAACCCAGGTTAGAATCCCTCGCCGAGTCTCCGATACCAGACATTTCATATTCCTGTATTGCTGGATCCCGTGGCCTGTTTCACTGCAACAACTCCTTCATAGGTAGGGAAAGCATTTTTTATTTATGTGTGTGTGTGTGTGAGAGAGTGAGTGAGAGAGATATTGAAGTGGAAGCCCTTCCCTTCTGCCACAAACTGGGCCTGTGCATTTGACAAAAGAGACAAAATGCAGAATTTTAAGCATCGTTATTACACCAGATAAATAAACAGTTAATGTTACAGTACGTTATCCAACATATCGACGTTACTTATGTGTGAGGTTGATTAGATACTTTACTCTCTGCAAATCTGCAAACTCTGATAGACTTAATTTGAATTTGGGAGGGGCAGTACAGAGATGAGAATCCTTTGTATTCAACAGTATTTTGAGATGTCTAAACAATCATAAACAATCATATATATTCATCAATCCTATGAATTGTGTTATCAGTTAATCTGGTTTATAAACCATTTTCATGAAACGAAGATAAAGGGAGAAGGTGACAAAAACAATTTTAAGAATCTATTTTTGGGCTAAGAAAGCGGGCTTGAGGTCTACAGGAGCCCAGACAGAACATTCAGGTTAAGTCTGTCAATACGTGTTGTTTATTCTCACCAGCGATTAAATGATAAGTATACAATAGAAGTACTTACTGTATTTGTGCAGCTGGTGAGGGACGGTGGAGAGATGAAAATCAGAACCCTGTTGAAGATGAAGCGCCGCTGACCTTTGCAACAACTCGACGACACTGCTGGGACGGAGAGGTATGTGGAAAACCTTGGTGCTCTTTTTATTATCACAGAGAGAAAAGAGTTTTTTTTAGTTACCCTGCATGATGGCTTTTGGAATATTTTCTGTTGTCTCCCCCTCGGTACCACTAGATGGAGCCAAAAGATTTCCTTATGTTTTCACGCCTGGTTATACTGAGGAGAACTGAGTATTTACAGTTCACTTGAACATAATTACTGTCTAATACATTTAGATCCCTTGAGAATATGTTCCAGTGCGCTCATGACACATTTTGGTTATCAACAGCTATGTCTTATTTATGAAAAAAGCTATCTCGATATTAAATGCTTCCACAGCTTGGGATCTCATGCCATTTCATTCTTCAATATTCATTAGCGTCATTGTTTCATCCTGTTTCCCACCCGAAAGCCAAGTATGCTTCAAAGGCAGCCAAACTCTGGTCTCTGATGCAATGTTTTGAGACGCACCGCAATCGTGGACGTGAAGCATGTGTTCAGAGATTCTTTTAACTAGAAGTGCTGGTTAATATATCATACAAAGACAGTCCCAGGAGGACCAAATCCCCCCCCCTCCTCTTCCTCCTCCTCTTCCTCCTCCCTCTGAGTCGCTTTGCTTCCTCGCATCACATGGCTGAGGTGTCTCAGCATACCATACCATATTGGGCAAACTGAGACGCTCTCTGCTTCTTAGCCTTGGATTCAGAGGGATTGACTTTCTTTTTTCTCTAAACTGATACTGTGCTCCCTCCACCTGAGTGCTGCACGTGAAAAAACCTGAACCTCATCCCTAATTCCTCCTACCGGGTGAAACCTGGCGACCCACTTGAGTTTCAGTGAGGATATTCTATTCATCCGTGTTCCTAAAGAGAAGATATAGCTGCCGTAGGGAATGAGAAACACAGGGGAGATAAGGATATAGATTATAGATTCTCTTTGAGCTGCCTCCAGGTCAGTGGTTCAGCTGTCCCCCATGGTGGAATTCTGAAATAGAGATCTGTTAGTAACATGAGTCTCAGCGTTACGGAGAAGACTATATCTGTCTGTGATAATTATACCGAGCGGCGAGGCTTCATCTGGAAGCATGACAGGCTGCCCATCACCAGAGCCGACCTCTGCATGACTCCATGATGATCTGAGCAGATTTTCCACAGCGACTTTCAGCAACAGAGAAAGGGAGACAGGTGTAGAGCAAGTCGGCTAAGAGATTCGGCTACGTGTAAGATTAGTGGCGATGGTGGCAGTTATGATAAGGGGGAATTAACGAGAGATAGAGCAAGCAGGAGTGCCTTTGCAGACAGCTTTCTTTCTACGGTACCGCTTTTGGGATTCAGTGATTAGATCCTGGCTGGTAGCCCATCCTGCTCTTCCAGGTTTACTCCAAAAATCAAGTAAACTCTGGTGGCAGCTTCTGTGGCTCATCGTCTCTATTGATGATAACATCCAATATGGAAAGTCCTGAATCTCAGGGTGAGGATCAGACTGGGCGAACTCCAGCTGGGATCAACTCTTTATGAAACTCTCCACCAAGACATATTCTCTTCAGATGGAAGAACATGCATTACAAATATACTTTATATACAAGATTTGGGTTGCATCTCAAACCATCTGTCACAAAAGCCCTCACAGTGATACAATACAAAATAGTTTAGGAACCAAAGAACATCAGCCTCTCTTTCCTCTCAGTCTCTCTTTTTCCTTCCTCTGTGTTTTTGTCGTTATCTTTCCTTTAATCTATTCACAACCAGCAAGTATGAGGGAGTTTAGGAACAACGAAGTGCTGCGTACCTCACTATAAAAGGAAGATAGCATGAGCCGGCTTGTGCAGAAGACTATGGGAAGAAAGTAGGGGGG